CATGGCGCCATCGAACGGCCGTCCCCGCGCCCCACCCACATGCATGGCGCAGGGAAGCATTTTCATGTGCCCAGAATCGTTAGCATCTATTCGAGAACTGGACGCCGAAAGGCGGCTGCACTGGCGTCCCGTGGAATGGTGCTCGTTTAAGCTCCGCGAGATGGATGGGTCATGGATGCACAGGACGGGGACGGTTGTGGATGGGTGGACTGGCAGGCGGATAGATACTTGCCTAGATGCGACGGCTTGTGGTGTGGTGGTTCCCCATCTCGTCTTATTATACCCACATTCTGGGGTTCTGGGTAGGTAGTGGACTCGGCTTAACAATGTTGGCGTTGTGCGTGTGTGCTTGTGCTGATCTGTGATCGCTGAAATGCGTTCCCGCCCCTTCACAAGCAGGCACGAAACCTGGGGAGGGGGGGGGGGCATGCCATGCCTTCGCGTACATTGATCGGGATGATCACCGTCAACACCCATGTGCTTCTTAAGCGGAACCAATGCGGGAGCGGACTCAGGCCGCCGATGAACCCCGCCGAAAGGGGGATGCCCTCGGTGCTCTGAACAATCAGTCAGCCCAGCTCGCCTTGACAGGCACTGTTTGAGAACGGATCAACGCGAGGGGGAAACTGTCGAGAGGAAAAGGGGAAGAAAAGAAGAGACATGTTGCAGGCATCTGTCGCTTCGGTTCGGTTCGGTCACGAAGCAGAGCGGTTTCCTCCGAAGTCTAGGCCTGGACCGGGCCGACATCCTCTGCTTTGCCACAATCAATTTGTCGATGATGATATGGAAGCCGACTTATCCCAGGTGCGCGACACGCGTATGATGCCTTGTGGATGCGGTGAGCGCGGCCGGGAATGCTGTATCCTCTCGTGTTGTGCAATGCAGCCCTATGGGGCCTCTGTTATGGGTAGGTAGAATGGTAGCACTTGGACAATTGTCGCTGCTTGAAGCGCTGCGTACAGCTACGGTCCTTTCAACTTTGAGGCCAACTTTCAGGGCAGGATGCTCGCTCTGTTTGTACACTGGAGATTCGTTGCTGAGGGTATATGCATTACGATGTGATTGTGGTGAGGTACAGGGTCACCCACAGCAGGAGAGCGATCATACAAGTAGAACGGGGTTTCTACCGTGCCTACCTGGCTACTTTAGTACATAATGGACGAAGCATGGACGAAGCGCCATCAGCCTGTGCGAATGCTAGAACTGGCGGGGCCCCTGCCTAGACCTTGCTGTCTGTGCGGGATGACTTACCATGTACCCCTACCCCGGTCGAAGCATCCCAAGCCTAACGAAGCAGGATCAAGGCAAGACGACCTTCGGGGCGGGGGGCCAGTTGAGTTCACGTTGGCTGCAAGTGAAATGGTCCGTCATCTCTAACGCCAACTTGGCGCAGTAGACCTTCCAAGGTGCCCCAAGCCCCCCAAGACGCAAGACGCACGACGCAAGACCCAAGTCCAGGTCCAAGCCCAAAGCCCCAGGCTTCAAGAGCCACCCCCCTCTAGCGCCTTCCGCACCCCACCACCCTCGCCTTGGGACCCCATGGCTCCTGCCCCTGTTTTCCCGCACCGTCCGTCCAGCTGCTGCTTCCTGCGCTGCCTCGTCAAGCCCCCCCTCAGCCTGGTTCTTTTGCTTTTTCCCTCATGCACATCCAGGGCCCTTGAACACGCAAGGCTCCCGTGTCTAGGCAGCTTCGGTATTTGAGCCTTTCAAAAAGAACAGTTCCAAACCAGGCCTCATCTGTCGAGGTCGAGTGCTGCAAAGACAAGGCCAAGGCTGGGAGTAGGGGCAAGGGCCAGGACAAGGGTTTCGGTTAGCAGCAGGATCGGAACAAAGGAGACTGACCGACTTGACTGACTTCTGCTGTTGCATATACAAATGCAAAACTGCGTCCCAAGCTGGAAAAACAAATACCGAGGCTCCAGACCTCGTTGCCTGCCATGCTACTTTGACATTTGCCGTGGCCGTTGGGGGCCTCGAGTCGTCGACCACAGGGCACTGAGCAAAGCAGCGCTGAGTTGGTTATGGAGAAAAACTGCTTGCGTCACATCGCATCGCACTGCGCCATACATGGTACTGAATCGTCGCCTCCGAAATTCATATCCCTCGTTGCCGACGATCTCTCGAGCCCTCGGGAAGCCCACGTTGGTTCGGCACTATACCAGCGCCATCGCCGGAGAGAGGAGAGAGGAGAGAGAGCAGGTGAAGATGAACAAAAGGCCGCCCAGGCTTGACGCAATACACACCTCTTTCAATACGAACAGAGATCGAAAAACAAGAGATCGGCCTTCGAGCACATCCGTTTATGGCCCTGCCTTGATAGTCCCTAGTCAGATTTGACCGAACAGAGTGGCATGGGCAAAATCTTCTGGCAACCGCCCGACGGCGACGCTCGTGTTGTCGCCTTGCATCCATACGCCAGACTGGCTTGGCCCCGAACCGAATCCGCTATCTGTACAGTAGTACTACATTGGTCTTCTCACATCTTCCCGACATGCAAAATACAAAGAACGGCACAGTACAACTACGAATACTCACGCACGCTCAAATCCACACACACCCGCACCTCGCCAGCCAAGCTCATATACACACACACCTCCCCCCTCCACTCCTGACATCAGTTCTCCCTCCCCCTCTCCATCCAACCAGCCCACCGCTTCGTACGGCCCTCCCCCAGCTTCGTTCGCGCAGGCGCAAATCCGTCCAGGCAGACTAGTGACGGCCGCCGCGGCATCAATCATCGTGTCGGGCCAGACGTGCAGCAACAGCAGGCGTATCGCAACGCTTGCTATCTCATCGTAACACGCCTTCAATCCTCGTTCAGCCTTCTCATCCCATCCAGCTCCTCAGCCAGCCCTTCTTTGACCCTGATTTCTTTCGACTTTTAACCTCCGGCGCAACACAACTCTACAGAGTCAGAGGCACCGACTCGTTGCTTGTCTTGCCTGTCGCGCCGCTCTGCCCGAGTACGAACGACCCTTCGCCACCGGCCGGAACGATATCCCATCACACCTTACCTAGCCTTACGGCCCTCTGGCTCCCCGGGCCTATCATCGCATTCCTCCTCACCCGTCCCTGTCTTGTCCTACATTTTCCTGTCTACATTACCAACCAGAGAAATCTCACTTCCAGCTTCACCTAACCATACCCCTTCGACTCGTT